TTTATTGATGCTTTCAATTGTTCTTTTAGTCTCTGCATCATTCATTTCTGCTCTGATCTTGGTTATTTCCTTCCTTCTGCTTGCTCTGGGCTTTGTTTGTTGTTTTTCCAGTTCTTGAAGCTGGAGGGGTAGGTCATTTATTTGAAATTTTTCCATCTCTTTTAGGTCGGCCTGTATTGCTATGAACTTCCCTCTCAGGACTGCCTTCGCTGTGTCCCATAGGTTTAGGACAGCCATTTGTTCATTTTCATTTGTTTCTAAAAACTTTTTGATTTCTTCTTTGATCTCATTATTGACACATTCATTGTTTAATAACATGCTATTCAATCTCTATGAGTTTGAATGTTTTAGAGTTTTTTCCTTGAGGTTGGTTTCTAGTTTCAAGCCCTTGTGGTCCAAGAAAATGTTTGTTATGATTTCAATTTTCTTGAATTTGTTGAGGCTTGTTTTGTGTCCTATCATGTGGTCTGTCTTTGAAAATGTTCCATGTGCATTTGAAAAGACTGTGTATTTTGCTTCTTTGGGATGAAAAGTTCTATATGTATCAGTTAAGTCCATTTGTTCTAATGTGTCATTTAATTCCACAATGTCCTTGTTGATATTTTGTTTGGAAGATCTATCCATTGTTGACAGTGAGGTATTAAAATATCCTAGTGTCAGTGTGTTGCTGTCTATGTCTTTCTTGAAGTCCTCCAAGATTTTCCTTATTTATTAGGGTGGTCCTATGTTGGGTGCATATAAGTTTACAATGTTTATGTCTTTTTGATGGAGCCTTCCTTTGAGTATTATGAAGTGTCCTTCTGTGTCTCTTTTTATGGCCTTTGTTTTGAACTCTATTTTGTCTGATGTAAGTATTGCTACCCTGGCCTTTTTTTCCTGTCTGTTTTCTTGAAATATTTCTTTGAGTCCCTTTACTCTCAGTCTGTGTAGGTACTCTGTTCTGAAGTGGATCTCTTGTAGGTAGCATATGTGCAGGTCATGTTTTCTAATCCATTCAGCTACCCCATGTCTTTTGATTGGAACATTTAATCCATTTACATTTAGAGTTATTATTGATAGATACTTATTAATTTTTCCCCTTTGTACCCATGTTCCTCTCTTTCTTACTCTTTTTCTTCATCTTCTTAAAGCAGTCCCTTTAGCATTTCTTGCAGTGCTGGTTTGGTGGAGGTGTATTCTTTTAGCCTTCTTTTGTCTGAGAAACTCCTTATTTCACCTTCCATTTCAATTGAGAGCCTTGCTGGATAGAGCAGTCTTGGTTGCAGACCTTTGCTTTTCATTACTTGGAATATTTCTTGCCACTCCCTCCTGGCTTGTAGTGTTTCTGTTGAGAAGTCAGCTGCTAGCCGTATCGGGGCTCCCTTGTATGTTACTACCTGTTTCTCCTTTGCTACCTTTGGATTCTCTCTTTGTCTTTGAATTTTGCCATTTTAATGATGATGTGTCTTGGAGTGGGCCTCATTGGGTTCCTCTTGAATGGGACCCTCTGTACTTCCTGGACTTGTGTGACTTTTTCTCTCCTCCAATTAAGGGAGTTCTCCATCATTACTTTTTCAAACAGGTTCTCTATCCCTTGGTCCTTTTCTTCTCCTTCTGGCATCCCTATTATACAGACATTATTATGTTTCAGGTTGTCCTGCATGTCCCTAAATACCTCTTCATTCTTTTTGAGTCTTTTTTCATTTTCTTGCTCTTTCTGGGAGCTTTTTTCTACCCTGTCCTCCAGTTCATTGATTTGATCCTCTGCTTCACTAGCCTGCTTTTGATTCCCTCTACTGTGTTCTTCATTTCAGATATTGTATTCTTCGTTTCCTCTTACTTCTTGTTGATAGTTTCTATATCCTTTTTCATGCTGATTAGTTTGCAGTAAGTTCCTTGTAGTTTCCCTGTAGTTTTTGGTAATTCTCTCTGAGCTCACTGAGTTCATTGAACTCCCTTATCTCAATATCTGATAAGGAACTCAATATCTGATAGCTTACTTCCCTTTATTTCATTTAGTTCTGTTTCTGGGGATTTCTCCTTTCCCTTTGATTAAGGAGTGTTTCTTTGTCTTCCCATTATTTGTGAGACTCTTCTTTTTTTTTTTTTTTCTGTTTCTTAAATTGATCTGTCTTGACTTCCTGACTTTGTGGCATGAAGTTCTATAGTAGGAGACCTCTGAGATTCAGTGGTGCAGTCTCCTTGATCTCCTGAAGTTGCTGCTCTTTGGATGCCTTTTCAACCATTTATGTTGGCTCCCTGGAAGTAATTGGGTTTTGATCGTTGTTGTGTCATTTTTTGGTGGGGCCTTCCCTCTAGCTGGTTGACTGAGGGTCACTCTGCCCACCACGTCTTGTGTGTTGTTGTGCTGGTGCTGCCAGAACAAAACCACAAGGCCCAGGAAACAAACCCACATCTGCAAAAATAACTCCCCCCTGCAATCCCACTATGAACAGCAAATGAACCAGTATTATTAAGGCTGTAAAGAGATTAATACTATTATAATAAAGGAGAGGAATAAACTGTTAGTATAAAATCTAGTGACAATATGCACAAACTTGATGGACCCAAAATGAATGTTAAAAAGCTAAATAGTATAGAAAATATCCCAAATCTTGGAGAAGAAAACAGTGGATTTTGCCTCAGTACCTCTAGTATTTACCACTGTTTTTTCTTTCTGGATCTGCCTCTGATGATGTCAGATGTTGACCCCGTCTGACCTTAAGCAGTCTGTTCAAGACTTCCAGGAATCTACTGTCTGTGGCTGTCTCCTTCAGTTGTTAATCTAGTATCTCTGCACTCAGCAGTCATATTTAGGCACCACAAGGTGCAGCAGAGTCCCTTCTGAGGGGGAGAGGGGCTATTATTTCCTCTCACACTGCTGCCGCTCAGGGGAGTGGTCTGCCTGAGTAAGATGGCTGCTGCCATATGGGGGATGCCTCAGCACCAGGATCCTGCTGGCTATTCCCTCCATTCTCTCCCCAAAGCCTCCTTTCCCAGTCTTTCCTCATGCATCTCTAGCCCACTATGCCCCTGCCTTTGCTGGAGCCCAGGGTAAGTGGCTGCAAATAAAAATTAATGCGTTGGCACTTTAAACAGCTCTTTGCATCTCCAACTGCCCATCTGTGGCAGAGAGCAACCCTGGTGCTTTTCACAGCTGGCTGTTATCTGTGTACTTTTTGGGCTTTGATGCTGTATGCTGGGGTTTCCTCTTATGATTTAGACCCCACTCTTCTCAGGGGGATCCAACTGGCAGTTTAAATATCCCTCTGGTGGTGCTGCCAGTGGGCACCCAGCCAGCCTTCTCAAGTCTCCACCTAAATCATTACCAGTCAGGTTGTGCTAAAGTTGCTTCTCCTGTCTGTCTGAGGTTATCAGGCTTCTCTCTCATTATTGTTCCGTTGTTTGTTCTGGGTGATTTTTTCCACAATTTAGTTGTAATTCCAGATTGACCCTAGGAGGAGGTCAGTGTGACTTCCATTCACTCCTCCACCATCTTGCCCCTTCCTCTGGGCCATCTTTCTTTGTTTCCTCAATTTGGCAGCCTCCCTTGTTTGTTTCTGTGTATTTGATAAAGCTGCTTTCACTCCCTGTCTTAGAGCACATGTTAAGTTGTATGGGGTAGAGCCTTAGTTATCTCCAGGGCTGGACAAACCACTTCATTGCTTTAGGGTGCTGTGCAAGGTGGGGAGGGATTGGAGAGAGGATAATGATGTTGCCTGGCTTCTTGAGGTTTGCCCCACACTCATTTCATTTCCAGTCACTTTACCCACTTCCCTTCCAGCTCTTGCCCTGGTGTTGAATCCTGGAGTGGGTAGGTTTGCATACATTTTAAGGCCATACAGGCCCTTTAAATGGGCTCTCCTGAGTAACTGGCAGGTTATTCCTTTGCCACAACCCCACTGGTTTTTCCAGCCAGAAGTTATGAAGCTTTCTCTTCCCAGAGCTAGAACTTTGGGTAGTGTGGTCTGGCCTGGGGCTGGGATCGTTCACTCCTAAGGTATCCCTCCAGATTTTTATCCAGCACATGTGGATGTGGGATGGCCTATTCCCCTATTGTCTCTCTGTGTTACAGCATGTCCTCTTCACCCCAGCTCCCCATCTGTGCCCCTCCTACCCATCTGGATGAATATGGTTTCTTTAAATAATTGGTCATCAGACTTCCATACAGTTCAATTTTCTGGCAGTTCTGGGTGTTTTGTTTTGTGATTCTTCTTGGGTTTGCACAAGGAAGAAAAGCTTGTCTACCTGTAGATCCATCTTGACTGGAAGTCTCTCTCTCTTTCAAAGTTTGTTGAGTACTTTATAATGTAAGTACAGGAAGCTGCAATGAGCAAAACGAACACTTGAGAATACTGCAAACATTTTACCTATCAATTAACATTTTCTTTTTGCAAATGAACTTTGGTGGGCAATGCCCTGGTCCATCTAGGAACATCAGTCCTCAGAGAGCTTATGAAGTGACACACAACAGCAGCAGCACCTTCTAATTATCTCTGAGCATGGGAGCAAGTGCGCAGCGATTCTGTGGTGTGCTTCAAGGGATGTACTCTTTCTGCTGGGAGAGATTGTCTTACCTTGGAGGGACAGCTTCAGGCTCTGGTCAGCAAGCAGATGCTCTTCCCAGACCAGGCTGAACACTTCACTGAGACACCATGGCCATAATAACCAGGATTTAGCCTGATGGACAGGCAGGGAAGAGGTGAGGTCAGGAGAGCCACTCTTCATAGGAAGAGACCCTCAGTCACCCAGTAGTGATTTACTACAGGGGAGCTTCCAAGCTGTATGCATCTGCCCACATGGCACCGACTGAAATCAGAATGTTTTGGAGAACTCTAGTAGCATCGTGAAGGCCAGAGGATCAAGATAAAGTGATTGGTCAGTCTGAGGCCCTGGAAGATTCAAAACTACTCTGTGGACAAGGAGGGGTCTTCTAGGACATTGGTACTCCTATCCTTCCACTACCCTCACCAAAACCTCCAGCGTTCTGCCTTCACTGATGTCTTGGGGTCTTGTTGCAGCTCACATCCACCCTGCTTGCCTTCCCATGCATGGACAGACCTTCAGCCTCAATGAGACTTGCTGGATCACAGGCTTTGGCAAGACCAGGGAGACAGATGGTGAGAGTCAGAGATGCTCAATTGTATGTATGTGTGCATGTGTGTGCCTATATACATGTGTGTCTATGTAGAGTGCATGGGGGTGATGTGTCAAGGTAGATCAGTAAGGGCCTAACTAATGAGGGTTCGAGTATATAACTTCATGGGCCTGAGTGTGAGTGAGTGTGTGTGTGTGTGTGTGTGTGTGTGCATGTGTGAATCTCAAAGCAGCCATTGCAAAAATGCCCTCCAGCAAAGACCACCAGGAAAACCTTTATAGTTAAACAAGTTGGGTTCATTGCTCACTGCACTGAGGGAAAACACACCATGGAGAAACTTGGCATATTTCAATAAGAGGTGTTAGAAACAACTCAGCACAGGACTTCGGTGGTTGGGGGGAGGGTTCAAAAAAGTGGAACATTTCTTTAGATTGGATGGTTTTAGGGAGCAAGGTAATTCTATGATTGGGTCTCTAAATAATCTCACGAAGAACGTGTGAACAGACTGGATCTAAAGCTGACGTTGGTGAAGAAGGAGCAAAGCAACAGCCACCCCTATTGGCTGGGAGGGGTGTGTGGTATTGTTGTTTGTTGTACAGCGACCTACCCTGATTTTGTCTATGCTTAATCAGATTATGAAGTGGGTTTGTTTTACTTCAGTTCATCATGATCACAGAGTCACCTTACCTGACGTCAGCTCTGTAGGATTATTTTTATGCGGCAGGAGAGTGCCTTGGCCTGTCTGGCCCACTGTGAGACTCAGGCCAAGTTCCCCTGCTCAGTGCGATGAAGTGCTGATTGGCCTGGGAGCAGCTTCGTCTGATCTTGGCTCCATAATGAACTAGTTGTGTGACTGTGGGCAAGTCACTTCTGCAGCCCTGAACTTCTCCATCTGTAAATGGATTCATTATACCCCTTTAGGGCACATAGTCACTAAAAACAAATGAAGTAACATATTGGGTAGTGTTTGGAATGCAGAAAAGCACTGTGCAACATGCAAGATAGCCTAATAGGCTGTGAGTTTGTCCATGTCTGTGCAGGTCTTAGTTATACGTAGTGAGCTGTGTCTGGTGTGAAGGCATGTGTCCTGGGTGACCAACCACAGAAACAGTGCCTTCTGCTCAAAGGAGGCTGTGAGTCTGGGTTCTGGGATGGGTGGCTAGAAGATCATGAAGCTGACCAGAGTCGTAATCCTCTTCCATCCTCTCTGTCCTTTCCACACCTCACTGAAGAGAAGACGTCCCCCTTCCTCCGGGAGGTGCAGGTCAGCCTCATAGATTTTCGGAAGTGCAACGACTACTTGGTCTATGACAATTACCTTACCCCAAGGATGATGTGTGCTGGGGACCTTCGGGGAGGAAGAGACTCCTGCCAGGTGAGGCTGCTTTTGGGCTTAGGTTCCAGGACCCCAGGGGAGTAGGGGAAGGCTGAGCTGTTGGGGTCAGAGTGGGAATAAGGTCAGAGAGCATGCAACACCATTTCCTGCTCAAGGACCACCTCTCCCACGCTGCTGATGTTCATGCTCTCTCTTGCAGGGAGACAGCGGGGGGCCCCTGGTATGTGAACGGAACAACCGCTGGTACCTGGCAGGAGTCACCAGCTGGGGAACAGGCTGCGGCCAAAGAAACAAACCTGGTGTGTACACTAAAGTGACAGAACTCCTCCCCTGGATATACAGCAAAATGGAGGTGAGAGTCTATGTGCGGCACTGATTGAGTATGTGAGGAACTCCCAAAGGACGTGTACCTGGAAGAGGGCCCACGCTTTCCCCCAGGGTCTTAACAGGGGTTCCCTCACAGCCTCCTGTTGAGGGTGGTGCTGTTCACAATGTGCAGAATATGAGGGCGAGACAGGAGTCAAATATCAGGCCAGCCACAGCTTCCTAAATTCCTTTCCCTCCTCTTCCTTTGGCAGGATAGGGCTCAGAGTGTTGCAAAGGGGTGGACCTAAGTGGGTGCTGGCCCCAGTATCACTCCTGTCCCAGTGATGGCTGAGGTGTGAGTTCATACAAGCCACTGACAGTAGGAGGCCTCTCATCCTTGGTAGGAAGTGGTCCCATGGGGAAGAGAGTGTCAGGAAATGGAGCTTCACCCCCGCTCTGCTGACCTAGCTCATCTCCTCCCTTCCCTGAGCCTGCTGTCTAAGCTGTAAAGCAGAAATGCCATGTCCTTTCCTTCTTTGCTGGGCCAAGGACACAAGAATGGAGAGCTCCGATGTGGACAGGGGAAGGCCACCAGGCCTCTCAAAACCTGCTTCCATCGTTTTCTCTTTGCTGCCCCTCTTCTCTGAAGGGAGTGCCAGGTGATAGGTGGATTGAATTTTAGGCTTTAAGCCCCCATCTTCATGTCTGGTTTCTGGGCCATCTGGCTCACCCTCACTGTGTTCTTTCTATTCTCTTCCTCAGAGTGAGGTGCACCTCCGGAAATCTTAAGCTGCTGTCCTGTTATACCTCACAGCACTGGCTGCTGTAGACTCTGGCCAAAGTGACTGGGCCATTTGCAACATCATCTGGGCTAAAGGCTACCAGACACCTTCATTACTGCCACTTCTACTGTCTGCTGCTTCAGTGAATATGCAATGTGTGTGTGCATGTTTGTGCATGTGCGCGTGTGTGTGTGTGTTTGGTTGCTCTCCCAAGGTCTTCAAAAGCCAGGAGAGCTGTGAGCTCCTTTCAAACCCCTGGCTGTAAATAATAACCTGGATACAACAGCTTGGACACCATGGAGATACCTACAGGCATATTCATAATGGATGGAGGAGATAGAGCCCAGGGAAAAGCCTGGGAGTTCATGTCAAGAATTTTGCTCCTCTGATCTTGACTAGGAGACTAACCCAGAGTGGGCAGCCACCCAGCAGCCCTGGTGACACCACTGCTGTCCAGGAATGGTAACAATTTTTGCTGGAGTGCCTGGACTGTCCCTAGTAAGAAGATATCCCTGTTGGCATTACAAGCATCCTGTTCTCTCGACCTCCCGCTGGTGCTGTGGATGTGGAGAGGTGGCTGCGTTGTGGCTGGCCTTGCTGACAGCTGTGAACAGGGCTCATTGTTCCTGTTTGGTCACAGGCTGTAGGGGGTATGTTTTAGTTCATTTTATTTTTTTTTATATTTAAGAAACAGAAGTAGGTGTATTTTTAAAGATTCTCCAAAATTTCCTGGAGCCAGGAGAGCTAGCATCAGTCAACCCAAGAACTCCAAGGAACGCATGGGAGCTGTGCCACTCTAGAGTCCTGTGGAATGTTCTTGGCCTCGAGGAGCTGAAGTGGCTGCTTTGAGATACTCATGGAAGTGGATCCTCATTTGAGCTAGTGGGCAAATCAAGGACAGAGAGAGCCACAGTTGTTGCTGTATTCAAGGGCTACAACTGGCCATGAAGAAATGGTTCTCTTTGTGCTTCCAAGAGACTGGAAAAATCCAGGTGGATCATCATCCCTTATTCTCAGTGCTGCTTTGGGACTTTGGAGTTTATCCTTGGCTTTCTCCACGGCTTTCTCCACCTTGAAATTTCTCAGTTGTTTCAGAAACATAGCACGAACATTAAAATTGCCATGGAGAGAAAACTGATACTGTCCCCAGGCCCTGCAAACGTCCCTTCTGAAGGATTCCATTTGCCCTATTCCTGCAAGCCATCAGTGTGCCTGGCCTCCACTTGAGCTGAAGGTCTGGACCTTCCCCAGCCTTGGTGCCCATTCCTTCCCCAGCCCCATTCTCCAACCTTGCTTGGGCCTATCTGGTGCTGCTATGATGCCCAGAGGCAGGGTCCAAGCAGGTCAGCCCAGCCCGACCAAGGCAAGGTAGGCAGCCACTTGGGGAAAGATTGCCCTGGAAGAGTAGGCTGGAATTGCCTAGTGGCTGGGCAGAGTCTGAGAGGCTGGTTACATGTCATGAAGGCAGGGGTAGGGTGAGGAGGGGGCAGAGGGCAACATTGACTTCCACAGAAACCCCCAGCAATGGTCTTCAGCAATAAAAGTTATGTGACCTAAATTTTTTAAAAGTTTTATTTATTGATTTTAGAGAGAGAGGAAAGGGGGGAGAGAGAGAGAGAAACAGAGAGAGGGTGAGAGAGAAACATTGATTTGTTTTTCCACTTATTTGTTGTTCCACAAGAATCATTGGTTGTTTCTTGTATGTGCCCTGACCAGAGATTGAACCTGCAACCTTGGTGTATTGGGGTGACACTCCAACCAAATGAGCTACTCGACCAGGGAAAAAATTGTGTCATTGGATGTCCTATTGGTACCCTAATCGAGATTGTCCACTCAAGTGTCCAGACATCCTCAATTTGGGTTCTGAATTTTGTTTTTTTTTTCTACTTTAGGTTCTGCTCACTTAATCATACATTCATTTACGTATTCGTTCACCAGCCATATCAGTGCCTAGTCTGTACCAGGTACTCCTATAAGCCCCAGGGGATAAGAAGACCAAGGTAGTATCCTCAGCTACTCATGGCTGTGACCCAGTGTGATGGAAGCTGTGGTTGAATTTGGGCACCATGCTTAGAGCATGAATAAAGAAGCCACTAGTTGTACCTAAAGAGGGCAGGAAAGGCTTCACAGAGGAGGTGATGTTTGAAATGAATCTTAATGAGTAGGCAAGTAGACAAAGCAGATGGGGATAGCAGAAGACCACTCTAATGTCTGTGCTTTTTTTTCCCCCCTCCTACCTCTTTCTCTACTTCTGATTTTGCCAGCTCAGCAAGAGGTGTGTTTACAAGGAAACCCCAGTGCTTATTCAACTATTTCCAAGAGAATCGAATGGATGGTCCCATTGGCTTCTTCTGAAAGATATATTCTTTCTTGCTCTGCACTTACTTTTCCTGCATTTAATATATTGATCTCAACAATTACGATCCCATGATGAGTGCTTACCACCCTCAGTGCCCCCACTACATACACTCAAGCCTCTAGCCAGCAGTACAGAATTCTCCAGGCTGGACCCCATGGGCCTGGCCTTTGGACAACTCAAATTTGCTTGCTTTAGTGTCTAATGGCAATGCTAGGGCAAGTCCTTCCTCGAATTCTTATTTTGCTCCATCTGAACAAGAAGAAATGAGGAGAGGGCAGATGCCAGGCTCACTATGTTACAGTAGGCATAACCAACCACTGTCATGGATCCCACAATTTCCCACAATCTACGTGGCTTAACCCAATCAAATTTTATTTTTCATCCACCTAACAGTCCAATGAGTGTGCCTGATCAGTGAGAGGTTTCCTTCCACCTAGTAACTTTATCAGCTTCTTCTGACCAGTGGAAAGAGGAAAGAAAACTTGTGGAAAGCATATCCACTTCTTAAATGTTCTGGCCCAGAAGTGATATATATCATTTTCATTCATGTTTTAGGGGTGTCAACATGTCATACACCACTACCAGGGTATCCAAACTTTTGGCCTCTCTGGGCCATGCTGGAAGAAGAAGAGTTTTCTTGGGCCACGTGTTAAATACATTGCAACACGTAATCACAAAAAAAATCTCATAATGTTTTAAGTAAATTTACAATTTTGTGCTGGGCTGTATTCATAGCCATCCTGAACTGCATGTGGCCTGCAGGCTTCAGGTTGGACACCGCTGAAAGTGGGACTGGGAAATTCAGTCCTTGGGCAGTTCCCATGCAATAGTGAACACTTGTTTAGGAGGACAACCAGCTGTCTTTGGCCATCAGAGGAAGCTGGTCATACCAGAAGATAGGCCTTAGGGAGGGAATTAGGGTTTAGGCCATTTCTGACTACATAGTCATTTCAGACGCTTTCGCTCCTCTCTCAGGTTTTGTGGGGCATAGACTGATTTACACGGTGCAGAGGTGTATGTTTTGGAGAAGAGGTAAGGTAGTGAAAAAGCAGTGTCTAGATAGGAAGAGAAAAACACATTCCTCAGGCCCAGGACATCTATAGAGACTGCAAAAATCATGGAAGGTGGGCAATGTGACTTTCCAAATTGGTTCAGAATCTCCAGGGACATGTGTGTGTGTGTGTGTTGGTGGAGGGAGGTATTACTAATGATGCTGTCCTACAGTCCCTGGATCCCAGGTATCAGTCAAACTCTCTGGCTCTGTCAACTGTATTGACTGCTTAATTTCTCTGGGGAGGGAAAGGAGGGCAACTGAGTGTGTTGAGTCGGGGGGGGCAGGTGATGGCTCTTTGGAGAAAGAGCCAGTTACAGCCTAGCTGCCCATCCAGCTGCCCCTGGAGTTTGGTTAGATTCCCAAGGCTATTGTTCGCCACAATTGTTCAGCTGATGTGCTGGTGCAATTCGGAGGACATTGGGAGATGCATGAGAAGAGTTCCTTGTAATCATAATGAGGAGGATAATGATGATAATAGCTAGCATTTGCTGAATGGTTGCTATATGCCAGATTCTGTGCTAAAAAGTAAGCATTGTTGTTGATATTTTATGCATGAAGAAACAAAGACCAAGGGAAACGAAATAAGCTTCCCCCAAACTACACAACTATTGTCAAGTGCCGATGTTGGACTTTGAATCCAGGCCATCTTTTTTTATTTGAAAAGCTTTTCAAATTCAGGTGGAGTCCACCTATTTGTGATCTCATAGGGTCTGCCACCTAAGTCTGTGGATCCTTCTGTTCTCCACTGGGCTTCTGATGTGGGTGGGGCAGGGTGAATCAACTCCCCAGAGAAAGCTGGGCAAATCCCTCAGAGGGTCGCATGACCAGAGGCTTAGACCAAGCAGTTTTCAGAAGCTGGGACAAGTGCATCAGGAGTGGGAGGAGACCCCCGTGGCACCTCCTCCATGCTTGTCCCAAGTGGATGGTTTCTGGAGGGCTCTCCCATGCCATGACAAGCTGTCACCCCAGGACACCTCCATGTCTCATGGATGTGAGTGGGTGGCTCTGAGAGGCACATGCCACTCATTTCCCTACTTCCTCTACACTGGCCCAGGCTTCCTGTTACCTGGAAATCTGCCACCCAGCCCAGGCGGCAAGCTCCAAACTGTCTTACAATGAGCCTATGAGACAGCATAGAGGACCATGCTCCGGAGACAAGTGCCAGTGCCTGGACTGTCCAGGAAGGAGACTCTGTGAGACCTCTGGTAAGGGGAGTGCACAGCCTGGTCTTTGGTCCTCCATACCTTATCTTCTGCCTGAAGGATAGAAAGAAATAGCAGGACGTTTCCTTTGTCAAGCCCGGAGTCCCAGATACTCTTCACTTTTTGTACAAGGAGGGCACTGGGAAACTTTGTTGAATAATGCCTTCTAATATACCATGTTGTAGTAGAGAGAGCAGTGGAATTGGAATAGGAATAACAGGAAGTAAAAATTCCAGCTCTGGCACTTACATAGCTCTGCAATCTTGGACAAGACAACCTGTATTTCTTCATGTGTAAAATGGGCGTATCCATCTCCCATGTTGTTGCAGGATTATACAAGTAAATACACAGGGAAAAGTTTTTGGCAAATTGTGACCTCTCAATAAATGCTG